TTTTTTTGGTTAAATTTTCAGTCGGTGTATTTGTGGATGTGTAAGTGATGGCTTCAAGGATGGTTTTTGTTGGGTTGTTTCTCACTGTGCGGACACTGCATATAAAGTCTTCTTTGGAAAAGAGACAAAGCTTCTTGTGAAACCAAGTAAGAAACATGCTTATATTTATTTACCTCATTTATTGTGGATATAGAGCAGAGGCCCTTTTAGCACCATCACTTGGTAATAAAAGGAATTGTTTAGCTGAAATAAGTAGTAATGATTTAAATTACTGTAACAGTTCTTGGATTGTCTGCCATCTGGTGTATTGTGGAAGCTGGAAAAAAACCCCACCTGCAGATGGAAATCTGGACCCACCAGAATTTGGACTTCACCAGTTACTCTGATGCTGGACTGTGTTCATATTGCTGTTCCCATCCCTTTTTGCCAATCCAGCACAACAAGGCTTTGGGGTCAGGTCTGCAAACATCTTTGCAGGACCTGTTGTGCCAGGTCTAACTGTAAAGTCAATAGACTCATTTTTCTTCTAAGGAGGATCATAAGCAGCTTCATTACTAAGGGTCCATTTGCATAGTTTCATTTAACGCAGACATGTTTAAGCCATCAGAGGAGCCTCTGACATAGTAAACTTGCATGAAATCCCCACACAAATGAGCGATGACCGCTGAAAAGTGATGTCATGCTTAGAAAAGTTTCTAGCTGGGGAACTTCTATTTACTGAATACGATGCTCCAAGCTGCTGATGGTCTGCCAGTGAGCAGGAATTGAGGCATGCATAGTAGAGCTGTGTGTGGTATTAGTAAGTGTTGTCACTGTGTGACTTGAGCATCCACCTGGAAAGCTGACTTTGGAATTGGGACACAACTTATGGTGCATTCTAGCAGGAATAAACCCTTCCTGAAGGAGTAAGGATAGGAAAGTCACATCACTTACCCTGATAAATCCTGCTGGGCTGTATTGGAAACTGGTATAAGCAGGGATGGAGATTGTGTGTATGTCTGTAGGGGAGAGATACAGCATACAGAACTGAGAAAGACATTTTGAAAGTGTAGACTGTGTGCAGGAGTGCCCAGGAGAACAGTTTTGTTTTTAACGCTGATCTAGGGCTGGAAGGGGAGTTGTGATCAGAAATCTGTGGTCACAAACAAGTGTAGCTATATTGGAGGGGGACTGTTCAGTCTGTGGGGCTTTTTGCTCTGCTTTCTCTGGCAGCAGCAGACACCTTGATTCCTCAATGCCATGAAATTAATCCTTCTGCTTACTAATTCCTGCCAGCTCCTGCTCTCTGCCTTTCCCAGATGCAGGCCGTGGTCCTGAACCCTCTTGCTCAGGGACAGATATCTTTTGTGCCATGGCCATCCGTCCCTGTGACAGCTGGTGCCGGTTTCTGATGACTCTGTCTAGCACAATCCCGGGTGGCTGTCCTTTGCTCTGCCGAGGAAAGGCCAAATCTGCACCAGAGTCCCTTTGTCATCCTTCCTGTTGACGAGATTGCCAAGAGATTCCTTATCAAGGCTACAGTTATGCCTGGCTTCAGATAGAGATCAGTTGTAGACTACCTGTCATGAGAGTTCCAGTTTTTTGCAAGGGTGTGAAGGACTGTGTGAACACAGGGAGCTACAAACTGGTGCTGGGGAGAGGGACGCGTCTTGTTGTGAAGCCCAGTGAGTACAACTGCTGCCCATGTTTCTTATTGTGTGATACAAATCCTCCCTTTCCACCTCCCTGAGCACTTCCACAGGGGTCAGCCTGGAGAAACTCTGGGGGCAGGAGGAGGAGGTTGTGTTCAGTTCTGGGCTCCCCGGTTCCAGAAGGACAGGGAACTTCTGGAGAGGGTACAGCAGAGGGCTACAGAGATGATTAGGGGCCTGGAGCATCTCCCTTATGAGGAGAGGCTGAGGCACTTTGGTTTTTTTAGTCTAGAGAAGAGAAGGCTGAGTGTTTTTTTTGATCTTTTTATTATGGAAGGAAATGCTGTGTGATTAGAGGTACAGCTACAGGAGGCTACCCTTTGGCTCAGGGACCAGATTGTCTATCCAGCCCAGTAAGTGTACAGCTTTCCTGTGTCCTTTATCAAAAGTGCTTGAATGTCTATTGGAGTGCCTTGTAGATGTCCTTCTTGTATCTAGTCACCTTTCATAGAGGAAGGAGAATATAGGTACTATTTCATTTAAGTGAGACAACGAAGAGGAGTCTCTGAGATGGTGAACTTGCAAGAAGTTCCACATGTGACACTGGGCAGAGGCAACAGTGCATCAAAATGTCGATTGTACCCATAGGTCCAACAGTGCTCTTGAGCCCACAGGAAGAATGGGGGTCTCTTCGCTACAACATGTATCTGACTATGAATGACACCACTGTCTAGTTGGGATGTGACTGACTTGCTTTGTCAAGAGGTGGGGAAGGTTTTTGTTGAGTGAAGAAATGCTGTGTGACCACAGGATCTGGTTTGTATAAACATGTCTTCGGTTCTGGAACAAGACTCACTGTAAGGCCATGTAAGTCCAACAGTGTTCCTACACTTTCTGTGTTCTGTAAGGCCGTTCACTGCATGGTTGGCAGCAGCAGTGTGGCGCAGGGTTTGACCATTTATCTGTGATGATGTCTAGTAATGAATTTTTCTCTAAGGGAATGTGCCAACTTGGTCCAAAACAACCCTCCTTGCTCTCAGTTTGGCTGGGTCGAACAAAGTAGCCACGCACCTGCTGTCAGCTATCCCATCAAGATGCTATCCTGTGCCACTGCATCCCGGTGGGTTTTCTATTGAAGTGGGAAGCACTGTCACCCTTGTGCTGCCGCTGTTAGCCTTGCATGGCAGGACAAAGGCTTGGGGAGAGGTGCTGCCTCTGAAATGGCTTGTTGGGCTTTTTGTTATGGAAGGAAATGCTGTGTGATTATGGCAACGGCTACGACAAGCTGACCTTCGGCTCTGGGACCAGATTGTCCGTCCAGCCCAGTGAGTGTGCAGCTTTTCTGTGTCTCCTTGGTCAAAAATCCTTGAGTATCCACCGGAGCACCCTGTGGATATGCTTGTGTATGGGTCACATTACAGAATGGAAGGAGAACACAGGTACTATTTCAAGATACTCCTGTGCTTAGAAGCATTTCAAAGTGGTCAATTTTTGCTATTTAGAGAAATGTGCTCTGGACATAGTGCTCAGTTATGCTGATAGTCCATCAGCCAACAGGAACAGAAGTGTGGTTTAGGGCAGATGGACAGATTGACCAACTTGTGCCTAGTACCTGTGTATGGCTGGGGAAGACCCTGGGGGATACATTCTGTTCCTTCCCTTAGGACTTTCAGGTAACTTGGGGAAGGCTCAGATTGTGCTTGGTGCCAGCGTTTCCTGAGAGTCCTGTGAAATAGCTCTAGGCAGGCAGACTGTCTTTCTGAGCATAACCGGAGAGAGGAAAGCTGCAGATCATTATGATACTTGCTTTCAGCCTGGATCGGGTGTGGAGAGTGAAAGGGGGAGCTGTCAGTGGGAGTGACTCTTTCCTCATCTTTCCACCCAGGCAGGTGCTTGAACTTCCCACTTCGTTTATATCACGATCTTTTCTACCTGGATAGGTCAGAGGAATGTGATTACAAAGACATTCTATTTGTAGTGAGAGGTGCATGACATCTGTTTTCACCCTTCATCTCTATAGGAAATCTTGTACTATTTTCTGGAGCAAAAATTGTGTGTGGTTTTTGTTAGTGCATATATCACTGTGTGATTTCAACATCCACCTGGAAAGTTGCCTTTGGGAGTGGAACACAACTGCTGGTGAAACCTGGTAGGTAAGGAGAGGAAAGTCACATCCCTTACTTGGAAAATAACACCTGCTGAGCTGTGTAAGAAACTAGTTTGCAGAGGGATGGAGTTTCTGTGTGTGTCTGTGTGAGAGATACAACAGCCAGAACCAAGATGGGCTTTTTGAAGGTGTGCCGTGTGTGCAGGAGAGTCCAGAGGAATATTTCTGCTTTTAAGTCTGACTTTTTAGGGCTGAGGGAGAAGTTGGGATAATAATCCTGCATCTTTTCCATACATGGAACAAGTGCACAGTCAGCGACCATCTCTGTCAGAGCTGAAAGGGATGACCATCTGTGGCTGTTTAACAAGTGCCCTGCCAGCGACTCACAGCTTTGGAAGGAATAAGGTAGTGCAGGGAGGACATGACTTAGAGGGTTTTTGTTGTGAAGGCAAGCACTGTGGGACTAATTATGGCAACCAAGTCACCTTTGGAGGTGGAACTCAGCTAAGGATAAAGCCCCGTAAGTTTTAAAGCCTTTTCGTGCTCCACTTGGTGGAACAGTTTTGTGGTCGTGAGCTAGCCTAACTGATGTGGCGGGAGACTGGTTCAATCTGTGGGGCTTTTTGCTCTGCTTTCTCTGGCAGCAGCAGACACCTTGATTCCACAAGGCCGTGAATTCAGTCCTTCTGTCCTTCTGTTGCTTACTCCTGCTCTCTGCCTTTCCCAGATGCAGGCCGTGGTCCTGAACCCTCTTGCTCAGGGACAGATATCTTTTGTGCCATGGCCATCCGTCCCTGTGACAGCTGGTGCCGGTTTCTGATGACTCTGTCTAGCGCAGCCATGGATGACTGTCACAGAATCACAGAATGATATGGCATTGTAAGGGACCTCTAGAGATCATCTAGTCCAACTCCCCTGCCAAAGCAGGTCTTCCTATAGTAGGTTGCACAGCAACTTGCCCAGGTGGGTTTTGAACGTCTCCAGAGATGGAGACTCCACCACCTCTCTGGGCAGACTGTTCCAGTGCTCTGCCACCCTCAAAGTGAAGAAGTTCCTCCTCCTGTTTAGATGGAACTTCTTATGTACAAGTTTGTGCCCGTTTCTTCTTGTCCTCTTGTCCTTTCTTCTGCTGAGGAAAGGCCAAATCAATAATGCTCTTGTCTGCACCAGAGTCCCATTTGTCATCCCTCCTGTCGACAAGATTCCCAAGAGATTCCTTATCAAGGCTACAGTTATGCCTGGCTTCAGATAGAGATCAGTTGTAGACTACCTGTCATGAGAGTTCCAGTTTTTTGCAAGGGTGTGAAGGACTGTGTGAACACAGGGAGCTACAAACTGGTGCTGGGGAGAGGGACGCGTCTTGTTGTGAAGCCCAGTGAGTACAACTGCTGCCCATGTTTCTTGTGTTCTGTGTTGCAAATCCTCCCTTTCCATCTCCCTGAGCACTGACCTTTATCTGGTCCGATCGATCAGGCATCCCCTGGATGTGAACTGGCTCTCCTGATCTGTTCCTTTCTTTCCCAGCCTACTCCCCTCTTCTGCAGGAAGTGCATCTAGGCTTGGTGTGGAAGAAGCGTGCACCATTTGGTGGTCACTGACCGGTTGTCTCGCCTTTAAAACCCACAGAGACCCAAAGCTAATGAACTTCCAGGGGATCCCTGCCCATAAAGAGGCATTTCAGGTGCATGGTGCCCCTGATTCTGGGCACAATTACCATGGCTGGGTGTTGTCATTCATGGGTCTTAAACATTAGGAAAGGCAAAGGGAAATGCTTTTCTGAAAAGTGCAAGTGAGCTGGGGAATAGATTTTCCATTGTTCAAGGGAGTGTCGCTGGACTTGAGCCTCTTGTGTCAGGGAGCTTGGCTGTGGCCTGAATGCAGGTGCTTTGTGTTTGAGATCATGTGCAAGGCTGATGTAGATATTTTTGTAATTGTATGTGTCAGAGTGTGAATTTTGCAGGCAAAGTCACTCTTGGAAAGGGAATACTACTTTCAGTGTTACCAGGTAAGCAGCAACTTTTCCTGGAAAATGGAATTGCTTCATTTTTGTCTTGCTCTTACTTATTTTGAGGGGAACAAATTTTGGGAACCACAATTTTGGGACACTGGCAATTTTCTAGGTGTCCCTTGAACTTGGTTCTCCCACATGCCTTGTGCTCCTGTGAAGTCTGTTACCACACCAAAGCTTCTTTACATGCCTGCTCTCATTGCTCCTGCCACCCTTAGTGTAGATAGATGTGCGTGCAATAGAGCACTGACACTTCAGAGAACTTTGGAAACCTGGTCCCATCCCCACTGAAGTTGTTCCAAAGGTGCTTTAGCTCTTCTATGTCACTGTGTCCCAGTGGGTTTGTGTTGCTGCTGGAAGCAGTGTGTGAAAAATGGTGCTTAGCACAAAGGTACCTTAGGGAGTGAGACAAGGCTCCTTGAAATGCCCACGAAGTGCTTGCAGACCTCAGCAGAAGTGCCTGCTGCTTTTAAAGCTCTCTGAGCTCCATGGAACATGCAACACCCAACTATTTTTCTCTCACCTTGGTAGAGTTTTCCCACACTAACCACAAGCCAGGGGTCAGCATGGAGGGACTCTGGGAACAGGAAGGGGATGCTTAGAGGGATGCCCCTTAGTTCTGGCACAGATAGACTGTCAACCTCCTTTTGTGCCCTGGGATCTTTCTGCCTTGTGTCACTCTTCTGATCATAGAATCGTAGAATCATAGAATGGGGAGAGTTGGAAGAGACCTTAAAAATCATCAAATTCTAATCCCCTTGCCACGGGCAGGGACACCTCCCACTAGATCAAGTTGCTCAAAGCCCCATCCAGCCTGGTCTTGAACACTCCCAGGGATGGACAAAAGCCTGGGGAGAGGTGTCACTTCTGAAATGGCTTTCTAGACTTTTTGTTATGGAAGGAAATGTTGTGTGTTGATGGCTATGGCTACAGCAAGCTGACCTTTGGCTCAGGGACCAGACTGTCAGTCCAACTCAGTAAGTGTGCAGCTTTCCTGTGTGTCCTTTTGTTAAAAGTCCTTGAGTGCCTTCTACACGTGCTTGTTGTACCAAGGTCACCTTTCATAGGGGAAGGAGAATATAGGTGCTATTTCATTTAAGGCAGGTGATGAAAAGTCGTCTCTGAGATGGTGAACTTGCATGAAATTCCCACTCATGTGGCGCAGGGCAGAAGCAGGAGTCCAGAAGGTTTGTACTCATAGTTCTAGTGGTGCTCTTAATCCCATAGAGAAATGGGGGTGCTGTCTCTTCAGGAGGTAGGTGACTCTCAGAGACGTACAGCAATGTCTAGCTGGGATGTGATTTGACCAGCTTGTCAAGTGGTTGGGAAGGTTTTGTTGAGAGAAGAAATGCTGTGTGACCATAGGAACTGGTCTGTATAAACCTGTATTCCGTTCTGGAATGAGACCCTGTAAGGCCATGTAAGTCCAACAGCATTCCTACACTTTCTGTATACTGCAAGGCCTTTCTTTGTGTGGTTCAGAGCAGTAACGTGGTTGTTCCATGTTTAAGTGTGACCATATCAGTGATGTATTTTGCTTTAAACCCTTCTTGCTCTACAACTATAACAAGCTGACCTTTGTTTCGCTCAGGGACCAGACTGTCCATCCAACCAAGTGAGTGAGCAGATTTTCTATGTCTCCTCTGTCAAAAATCCTTGAGTGTCCACTACAGTATTCTGCAGAAATAATTGCTGTGTATGGATCACGTTACAGAATAGATAGGGACCATAGGCACTATTTAAAGATACTCCTATGTGTTTCAAGGTGGTAAAATGTTCCTATTTCGATAAATGTGCTCTGGACAGGCCGCTCAACATCCATCAGCCAACAGGAATAGAACTGTGGTTTAGGCAGATGGACAGATTGACCAACTTGTGCCTAGTACCTGTGTATGGCTGGGGAAGACCCTGGGGGATACATTCTGTTCCTTCCCTTAGGACTTTCAGGTAACTTGGGGAAGGCTCAGATTGTGCTTGGTGCCAGCGTTTCCTGAGAGTCCTGTGAAATAGCTCTAGGCAGGCAGACTGTCTTTCTGAGCATAACCGGAGAGAGGAAAGCTGCAGATCATTATGATACTTGCTTTCAGCCTGGATCGGGTGTGGAGAGTGAAAGGAGGAATCTGATTTACTCTGCAGAAACGTGAGGAGGCTGCCAGTAGAGTTGGTGGAGGTAATGCCAATTGAGAGTTAACCTGTGTTTCTGTGAAGTGCTCTGCTGTTGTGACAGTGGCCTCAACTTCACCTTTGGCTCTGGGACTAAACACTAAAGTCACCGTCTTGCCAAGTAAGTGGGTTAATGCCTCTGTGTGTGACAATTTCACCTAACGATTATGTCCAAAGGCTGTCCTGTGACTTGGCAAGAAAAGGCATTTTCTCATTGAAATGCATAGTACTGATTTAAATACTGTGATAGTTCTTTCATTGTGAAAAACCACCACCTGTAGATGGAAATCTGGATGAGAACGTGGACTTCATCAGTTCCTCTGACCCGAGACTGGGTTCATCTTGTTATTCCCATCCCTTTTTTTCCATTACGGGACAAAGAGGCTTTGGGTAGGGATCATCAAGTGTTCCCTGCTACCTAGGGAGTAGGTTCTTCCATCTCGGATACCTGGGGGGACTGCAATCAGATCTTGTTATTCCCATGCATTTGGACATGGAAGAAGGTCTTTGGCCAAGAGAAGCTAGAGGAGGTTGTGGAAGTTTGCCTGGGTATTTATGGCTTCTCTCAGAGGCAGCTCCACGACTGTGTGTATCCAAGCCCTCCAGCACCCACTGAGGTGGCTGAATGAAGAGGCCCATTTTGTATAGGCCTGTCACACTGTGCTGGTGCTGGAGGATGGGGAAAACTCACATGGGGAAGTGGAACCAAACTTCTCGTTGCCCCAGGTGAGCTGTCTCTTCTCTGGGTCGAGGTGGACTCAATACAGGCGACGCTGTACTCTAGCTTCAAAACTAAGAGCGTAGTGGCTCTGTGGAGCAATTTGGGATGGTTTTAGTATGCCCTGGGAAGCTGTGGCAGACTTCCTATTTAACCAATGTGCACCAGGAAAGCGCCCATCCTGGGGGAAGAGAGCAAGTGAAAAGGGAAAACAAGCAAGTGAATTACAAGAAGAGAGATGTGGAAAATGCCTCATGGTCTTTAGTGAGCGGTGCCACTTTGGATTTGTCATGGGTGGAGGTGGAAAGTGAAGGAAGAGCCTTGTGGGTTTTCCTTGTGGTATTAATGAGACTGTAGCATGGGGAGGAAAAAGGACAAGCAATGGACATGAAGGCTAGATGTAATGGATTGCAAGTGCGTGTGGGGGAAATTGAAGGATTTCCTTGAGGGAAATTATTCAGGTGGACTGAGGTGGATAGGAATGTGCAAGGGCTTTTGCTATGGCAAGCAACACAGTGTCTGTGAATACCTACCAACTTACGTTTGGACTTGGAACGAGGCTCGTGGTAAAAGCAAGTAAGATTTCTGAGATTTGGGACATTGAGGTGTTTGGTGGAAAAATTCAATCCACCCAAACCCGAAGGTAATTTTTGCTAGGAGAGGAGCAAACTGCAGCTCAGAATCGGGCTGTTGCCAAAGGTCACATACAGTGACCGTAGTATGTGCTGGATATTGCAGGACAGGAGAGATGGTCCTCAGAGCAATGAAGTAAATTGCACAAGCTGTGGAGCTCTCCTGTGACAGAAGACCTAAAAGCCTTTCTTTCCAGATTTTTTTTTTTTTCTCCCAGATTTTTTTTTTTGATTTCACAAAAGAAAAAATAGCCAAGAAAAGTAAAATGCTCTCAAAAGACTGCCAGACCAATATTTTTTCCCCATAGGAAGAGAGTGAAAGGAACTTTAAATACTTCACCTGTGGCTTAGATGTTCTCTCAGCTTTCTCAGAAAATAAATCCTGTTTTCTCTTTGGGACGGAGAGCAAACTGAACTGTGGTCTTGGTTTTGCAGGAGGAGTAGGAGAGAGGTGTCACTGGTGCTTGAATGTTGTTTGCTCATTGAGTAATGAATTAGCCATGATCTCATACTCTGTTGAATTAACAAGCTTTCCCGGGACGGGGGTCTTTTGTGGGTTGACTTTAAGGAAGGACGTTGGCTTGACAGTAATGAGAGAGTGAGGTGTTGATGCATTGTGCCCCGACCTTAGTTTTTGTGTGAATGCATTTTTCAAGTTTGGAATGACTTGATTTATAGAGCTTCCAGCATTGCTAAGGCAACTTTTATCCTGCAAAACTGGTAAGTTGTGCTAATTGGAATGATACATTTGGACATTCTTGGATAAAATACCCCAGTTTGTCTTCAACTGATTTACTTCTTGGATTTGGTTGTTGGGGTTTTTTTTGATGCTGGTTTTGTTGTTGTTTTTCCAT